AATCAATCATGATTCAATATTTTAAACATTTAAAGAAGGTATATCATTAAACAAATAATTGTTATGCAATGAAATTCTCATAAAAACATTTTAACTAAATGATACAAAACTACATTGTATCAAAATTTCTATTTATTCATTAAAAAAAATACTAAATAAAGTATTGGCAAAAACTTTAGTCAAAAGTATTGTCTACATAAAAAATCAATATCTTCACTATTTGTTTACTCTGTAATGTAAATAAAAATGTAATTCAATAGGATAATGGTAACTTTTATACTTTATGACCAAGTTAATTTTGGTCATAACTAACCTAATAAATTAGACACAATTAAGTCGATACAAATGAAAATGATCAAGTTTAAATTGGAAATTCAGTCACGACTAGTAACTTTATGGTTATTTATTTTGATTATTTACACTAATTAAACTAAAGTAAGATGTTCTAGAGAAAATTAATTCAATAATTTCATATATTGATAATAAAAATGAATGATTGTTATTTGGCTTCAACATACCATAAAAATACTTCAGTTTGTTACGGTTATTAGTTTAAGCAATTTCAGTTTTTTTCTCGACTAAAGGTTAACACATAGATATTACCATGACAACAGAAATAGAGAAGCGTTTGTATAATATGTTTTAAACTAATGATGATCTTTTAGAATCCTGAGAAAAATCACACATTATAGTTATTTAAAATGAAAATTCTAATAGTTGAAATAATGCGTAAATTCAAGCTAGACCATGGAAAACCTGGAAGCACTGGACGGCTGTTTTGTCCTATTATGGGACTCCTCAACAGTGCGCATCCACGATCCCGTCTCGTGAGCGAGATTCGAATCCACGACCTATCAGTTTTGTGCAATAGCACTTAACCGGTAACAACTCACTGAAGACAATTGGTGAACGGTTGCTCAATTTCGTGGATTGGTTGAAGTTAGACATTAACACCGTTGGATGCCATCCTGCTCAGTGGTTTATCGATTAAGTGCTCGTGGACTTTAAGATGCAGGTACATTCAGCTGACGAGTCCCAAATAGGACGAAACGTGAGTCCTGGATTCCACTGTTAGCCACTATCCGAATTTGCTTACCATGCCTGTGAATTGAGGCTATATCGAGGCAATACGCACAGTATGCACATATGCCAACTAGAGACTGACCAGTTGCAGTCCTAACACATCGATGGGAGGATTCAAACAAACAATACTGAATGAATTTAAGTAATCCAATTACTTTTTTTATTTTTTCAAAAAAGAGATACTTGAAAATTCTTTTCGCAGCGAATGATTAAGATTTATTTACAGTAGAAACAATTTTTTCTTTCTACTTTTCAACAATTAACTAGTCTGAAGGTGTAGGGTTTCAGTGTAAATGAATTATATTTATCCTTAAATTACTTTTTTTCCAAGATCAATAAATAGTAGTGTACTTATGAAACAAGGGAAAAATAAACGAAAATTCCAGAAAAATAATAAAATTTTAGGAATAAAATAGAAGTAATCATTTTATTTTAAGACTTCTCAACTTTAACTGTAAGACTCTTGTCATTTCCACAAAAATTTATCTCAACTCACGCTATTAAATATTTACTTCTAACCAGATTATCCGTCGTAGGTCTGAATTGAGAAGCTTTATGAACATAAGAATAAGTCCATTTTACTCTACACATAATATTTTTCTTCTGTAACGTAAAATAATCAAGAGAACCACATGACAGATGAAACAAATGAAAATGAAGACTAAAAAGAAGCTAGAAAAAGGGGAGCATAAATCCAGTCAATTATTATGCGTGCTCGATCAATGAAAATGGAATAGAACAAGAAAATTGTTCAATTATATACATTTCCTATGGAGTTCACATTAAAGTATTCATAATTTCAATACAATACATTCATGTTGTTTTCGCTAACTGGTCCATTTCTATCTACTAAACTACATTTTGAACATTTTTCGGAATCTCAGTGTTTTTAAACGAACACTGAAGTATGATTCATTGTATTTTTATTTTCCGATTGAATTATATTTCTTTCATTCGATACTGACATTAGAAACACAAATTTTTATATTGGATCAATCTCTTCATTCATTATAATGATATTTGTTGTTTATTCATTTATTAATTTATTTTATATAATTTAGATCATGAGTCAATTGAAGCTAGACCACCATGGAAAAGTTGGAAGCACTGGACGGCCGTTTCCTTCTATTATGGGACTCCTCAGCAGTGTGCATCCACGATCCCACCTCGCGAGCGAGATTCGAACCCAAGACCTACCAGTCTCGCGTCAGAGCACATAACCTCTAGACCACTGATCTGGCTGGCTTCCGACGATGTTAATGTCTACGAAACGGCGGTCCAATGCTTCTAGGTTTTCCATGGTGGTCTAGCTTCAATTGGCTCATGATCTCAACTATATAAAATTACTAAAATCTCCACAAAACCCCATTCTGTTTAATTATTCAAATACCAAATTAAATGATAATTGTTTAATGTATGAACACTAGTTATCTTGGTGATGCTCATTACTGTAGAGATCAAATATACAATATGAAAAAATATATTTACAAGTAAATGTTGTGTCATACGAATTTATAAAATGAATAGAGTTGATTTCGATCATGGAATAACATCATCCACAGAACAGCTGCTGTCTAGCCAACATCAGTTTTTATGAATGCTAATCTTGAATTCAACAGTCTTTACAAATATATTGTCATAACAGAGTTTAGAGTTATGACAAAATCCCACCTATTCAACTGTTAAAAGAATTTTACAAAAAGGTACATTTGATTTTTTTAACGTTAAATTAGACATCGTGTAAGATATGAGGCAGTTACTTAGCGAAGTTAAAATAGATGTCAAAAATCATGAAATGTTTTAATTTAAGAAAGTGACATAATACTCCATCACCTTAACTAAACATCTTTTGAAAGGGAAATTATACTATCCCTCCCGAAAAAGTTACTTCATGCAAAGAAGTTATTATTGATTTCCTCATTTTTAATTTTATTAAAATATTTAAAATGTTTAAATCAACATTGATTTGTCTCAAGTTGTTAAGGTAAATAAACATCAATAGAACGATGTAGTTTTCAAAAATGTAAATTTCCGTTCCATACATTTGTTACTTTGTAATTTAAGGTTCTGCATACGTTTTAAATATTGTAAAACAAACGGAACTTTCTTTATTGAAGGCTCATAACAACATATACAAGAAGTCTGTATCTAGATCAACTGCTTTACTGTATACAATAACATAGAGGGTAACTACGCTTCTACAAGGATCCAGTATCAGAGGCATTATCCCTGGATTAATCAAATAATGCAATGAAATATAATTCATAACAGCAGATCAGAATAGGCGATTTTTTTGTAGATGGACATGTACGTTTGAGAAATACACAAACCTGATATCGTGAGATAATGTTTAGAGGTAATAGAACATGAAGTAGGGATTTGATCAGATAATCTGAGGCGTTGATTCTTTAGAAGGAAAATATTTATAATCTAATTGTAGCAATCCCAGCATATCAGAATCTAACATTAATTAAATGGTTGAAAGCGTGAGTCAATTGAAGCTAGACCACCAAGGAAAATCTTGAAGCACTGGACGACCGTTTCGTCCTATTGTGGAACTTCTCACCAGTGCGCATCCACGACCTCGCCCACGAGATTCGAACCCAGAACCTACCAATCTCGCGCGCGAGCACTTAACCGATAGATCACTGGGCCGGCAGGCATCCAACGGTGTTAATGTCTTACTTCAATCAATCCACGATGTTTGAGAAACCGTTCACCAATTGTCTTCAGTTAGTTGATATCTTTACAATAGACTTGGTTGAACTCCACTGGTCACTGCTTCTCACTAGAACTCCGGGAATTATCTCCAGGTTTTTCTTGGTGGTCTAGCTTCAATTGACTAATGCTTTCAATTATGCAAATAATAAATATCCACAAAAAACACCTTTTGATTTATTAAATTACTTAATGATGTAAAAATGAAGGAAAGGTTTTAGTGAAAATGACAGGTTCATTTAGTTTTCAATATATTCACACAACAACTGAGAAATAAAATTAATTCACAATTAAACATTGCAAACTGAACTTATTTCCGAAGAAAAATTTGGTGACTCAATTATTGTATAGGTTTTGTTCAAATGTCTAAAAGGAATCAATCACATGAAATTGGAGTTTTTTTTAATTAACGCCAAACTTATTCACATAAATTATTTCGAGTCAAATTATTAAGTATATTTAATGTCGAGTAACATTTTTGGAACTCAAATATTTTTGGTTATAGAAAGTCAAAATTTAACTTTTTCTTTTCACAAATAGGGTGAAGGTAATCCATCTAATTCAGTCAAGTTTAAGCAGAATAATAGCCAATGCTTCAACACAAACTTTAGTATTGGATAAATGACTGTGATTTCATACTACTCTACATAAACTAGTTCACATGTATGTTAGTGTGTATGTGTGTTAATCCACATATATAAACAGAAGAAATCAAGTTATATAGTTTTCGGTGGTGAGTTATTTGTTTAAGAAGCTCTGAAAACATTTGAAGTGTCAAACTCTAGTTGGTGTAGTTGCTAGACAAATATGTTTTTATATAGATTCATTTTTAATATAAATAAGTTATGTGATTGCCTATAAACACAAATTTCAACATTCAATTTGTTAACTATGAAGAAGATATTTCCGAGTTCATAAAAAAAAACACTTTAGCTACCTCGGAATATTTACCATACGTTTAGTAAACTATTTGATTACAATTAATTAATTAATGAATGAATGCTGGTCGGCGGCCTAAGCTCCATTGGGAGTAATAGGTGTAAGTAAGTAAAGTGACTGGACATGTTTAATTAATTTATGCTAAAAACAAAAATTAAATGTCAACCAAACGCAATCAAATTTTCTTTATATTAAATGATTTTCATTGAAAATCAATCAATCATATTTAAATAAATAAATAATAAAACATAGTAACTAACTTCAGTCCATAAGGCATTAGTACTTATTATATTATTATTTTCTGTTGTTTCCATTACTTGTTGTATTGAAGTTGTCATGTTATTATGAATATTATTTGTATTAATCATTTTTAATTTATTATCCATACTTACATTTTCCATTGTTGTTATAAACAAATAAAAAAGATTGTTATTAGAAATAATTATCAATCAATTATAAAACATTGAACATTGAATGGAATAACTGTTCAAAGAAGGAAAAAGAAAAACTGATAATGCTTATTTTTCTATTTATTATTATTATTATTATAGTAATTGGATGTCTGCCAGATACAATTCTGTAATAGTTTTAGTCTAGTGTGCAATGTAATAGGCGTTTTAATCACAGTGTTTCATATATATATATATATATATATATATATATATATATATATATATATATATATCCTAAGCCGGTCTCCTATTGGTCAACTCATCCACAAATATTGATTATAACGATTACATACCTTAGCATAAATTTGCTCTTTTCATAAATATATACATGATTATTTTGTATTAAGAACTTTAAATGGAGTATAAAATTTAACTCTTTCAAGAACCTTTTTAGCACTAATTTATTTAAGAATATTGAAAATAACTGTGGTGAATAATCAGAAGGGGTTTTCGTGGAGAATTCGGTTGATTATTATTTCGGTCTATCGGTTAGGTGCTCTGGAGCGAGAGTGGTAGGTCCTGGGTTTGAATCTCGCTCGCGAGGAGGGATCGTGGATGCGCACTACTGAGTAGTCCCATAATAGGACGAAATGGCCGTCCAGTGCTTCTAGGCTTTCCTTGGTGGTCTAGCTTCAATTGACTTATGATCTCAACAATGGAAAAAATGTAGTGAATAAGTTTGATGATAAAGCTAAACTACTTTTCAATTAATTGAAGTAAAATAAGAAGAATTATGTAAACTGGTTTTATTTTGGTAAGAAGATGAAATTAAAAAAAAGTAAATAGACTACTGATTAACTACAGTAAATTGTTATCTCTTTTCATCTGGTTATTATTGTTGTCTTTTGTAAAAAGATACATAAGTTTAAAAAGACTACTGATGAAGGCCGATACAAGGTTTTATAATTAGAACACTTCAATAAGTATTTCCATTTTGTTGATCACAATTCAAAACGCTTTTTCATAAAGGTGTAAACTATATGTCCGTTCTTAATTTGATAGTTTTCAAAAATAAAATATGAAAACATATATTATTCAAGTTTTATAGTATTTTGGTTAAATAAATTATCAACTCTTAAAGAGATACCTCGCTGTCGCGTTAATTCATTGTTCGAACCATATTAACATAGTGAAAAACTAATTATCTGTAGGTGACGTATACATGGATGAGAAATTTAGAGTTTATTTTGGTTTAATGTTCAAACTAATCCACCGTAGGGGCTTATGGAGACCTTCATAAATATCAATAGTAGTTATTCATCTACTCATCAGTGTCTGATTTTGAATGGCAATTACGAAGTTACAGTGAGAAGCCGTGACCTGTGAAGTTGAGCCACGTTGAGTGTTAGACGGTTGTACATCAAGTACTTTCGGAAATGGTCGCACTATCGCAAGAACTGATTGCAGTTAAACATGTCAATCATGGCATGCTTACTCAGAATTTACCCCGAGTTCAATTGCTGGTGGCGTGGTTATGAATATGAACTGCTTAGGAGTCCCATACTAGAGAGAAACAGGTATACACTGCTTTCAATTTTACAGTGGTTTTTTAAGGAAGATCATTCTTCTATGTGATTACTTTCATTCGATCCCCGTATACTACCCCTTCCATATAAAAGTAATATATTTTTCCTTACTAGTCTTTATCTCAGACCATACTAAAAAGTTGTTTGTTTCGAAAAAGTATAAACTTTGGTTCAATTTACATTGGTATACCATGTGTTGTACGATACACTGATCAATGGATCACACAAATTTTTATATTTTCGGTTTTGGGAAACAAATAACGACTAAAGCTTATTGGTCACACATTATTACGATTTAGCCAGATTACTCAGTGAGGTTGAAATATGTTGATCAGCAAGCGTGAGCAATGCTGCTATTAGATGTGTGGTATTATGTAGAAATCGTAAATCAATTGATGAATGTATGAAATGGTTGGAACATGCGATATGAGTGTTTAGCCAATCCCAACTGAGGTACACAGCACAAGTTTATGTAGGAGTAGCCTTGAAAAAAACTGAGAGTAACCATACAAATAAATAGCACCGACCCATGAATTCTCTAAACAGGCTGAGATTCTGTTATCCCGGTTGTGATAATTGGATAACTATAGGTGAATGTCGTTATTGATACCAAAGTGAATATGAAGTATTTGTCTAGTGATAATGATATTATCTAAAGGGTAATGTTGTGCAATGATTATTACCAATTAACCAAACAAATGTTTACTAATCTAATCCGATTCAGTAATATCCTATAATTACTTAGTTTTAAGCAATATCAGGTCATATTTATTATGGGTATACGAAAATAAATAACAGAGAGGATGTCATAATCACATCTAAAGGGAAATTTATTAACCCCTGTGGACGGAGATGGTATGAATGGGTGAATAGATAGAAATAGTAAGTGCTGGTAGCTAATTTTATGTGAATCAAAGTATATTTTTTTAATATGTATTAATTATGTAATTGATTTATAGTATTTTGATATTGTTCAAAATTTCCTACGCAACAACTTAGTCTACATCCTCTTGTGTTCGCAAATCTCTGTTAACTCTTCATAGACCTGTTACTCAGGTTGCACCATGAAGCTACTAACTATGTGTAGATGATGATTTATGGAGTTGTGAACTTGAGTTGCAAGCGTAAAATCATACGAGTTTCAGGTCCACTATTATGCAAGGTACGTGGTTGGCTTTTCAATGTTGTGATTTGTATTTCGGGGAACAGGTGTGTGGACTAATCGAATATTAGCAACCTGAGTAACTTCGCTTCATTTGCCATAATTAGCGTAGGCTTGACAAATAACACTGAATTTTTGTTTAATCCGTCACAACTTTGTTTAGGAGATTGAATATGGTATGAAAATAATTTTTAAAAAACCGCCTAAATGTTGCTAGAATCTAAAACACTTTTATTTGGAATCATATACTGAAAGACTTTTTATTTGTCTACTTTATCTCAGTTTCCCTTATGCTTTGAAGTGCCACAGGGTGTTACAAGTCACTGTTATATTCACTGTTTACATTCGTTTCAATGGTAACTCAGTGAGATTCTTGATAACAATGTAAGCAAGAGAAAATTTTTAGAAAAATTCGATTGTGGTTAGAGGTTGGGTACCAGGTAAGTGTTTCGTTCTGTATAGAATTAGGAGTTTGAATTTACCTGCTAGCAATGCTCATTTTTATTAACTCAGTGGATGACAAAATGGCGTTTGAAGTGAAAGTTACTGGATTACTGTGTGAACATCAACACCCGGATGTAGGTACATATATAGCTAACTAGAAACTCACATTATGAATTGGAGTGATAGCTCCAATACAACTTTGCCATAATTTTGGGACAAATGACATTATCGAGACAATCCGATTTTGATGCAAATATGTCTACAGAGATTGATCAAATGCAGTCCTTAACAAAAACAATAGAAAAATATGAACTTTTAGAAAGAAAAACAAACAGTTCATGTTAAAAAGAAGACAGTGAATTTCAAATTAGTCAAAATCTTTCCGTTTAAGTTGCATTACAAAATGATAACTTAATCAACTCATTTAAAATGGGTTACTTATTAGACCACCAAAACTGTATAACATCCTGTATACTGAGAAATATATATTTTTTTAGCCAAACTGAAAAACGGCATTGACCAAGTGAGTTATAACATACTATAAACTTTTTTATAGTTTAATTCATGAGTCAATTGAAGTTAGATCCCCATGGAAAACATGAAAACACTGTACGGCCATTTCGTCCTGGGTTCGAATCTCACAAGGTGTTATCGTGGATACGCACTACTGAGGAGTCCCATAACAAAACGAAATGGCCATCCAGGTTTTCCATGGTGGTTTAACTTTAACTGGCCCATAATTCCAGCTATAAAATTACTAAAATCTCCACAAAACCCCCCTTCAGATATAAAATTTTTAATCAGTTTTCCGATTGACATACAAAATTAATGGAGAAATTGGTAAAATAAATAGTAGCTAAATAATAATGCACACTTGTGAGTAATTTAAATCTTGGTTATATCACATCAATAATTCACAAGTATTTAATTTTTAAGTAAAATTACTTAACATTTGGATTTTTTGGGAAGAGTTAAAACTAACCAAAGTTTAAACTATCTATTATATAAAGTACTTTGTATCTTTAATTAAAGCAATGCTTTTAATGATCTTTATCATAGTTAGTTTGTATTGTAGTGAATGAGAATACAGGTGGGGACAATCGAATATATTAAAGCGCAATTTACAGACTATCTAACTAAATTCTGATAACCATACAGTAAACAGTTAATTTGCAAAATAACAATCAATTGTCTCAATCTTCACTGTTCCTTCTGTAAATATCAATCCATCTTCTCTAATTTCATTGTTTATGCATTTTCCTACCAATTGCGCTTCATTTCAGTTCTTTCCTTATCGGACTTCTGCCAAAATACATTCTATGTCTGACCATCACCATATACTACTTATATGGATATAAGTAGACCACACCACAAAATTACTGACATAAGTTTAAGTATACAATTATATTCATATTTAATTATTAAATGGGTACAACAGATTCTAACTAACTTTACACTTAAATCGGTATTTATTATGTAAAAAGTATCCCTAAACTAGTTTATTTAATCAACTGTATTTTATATTAACTATTTTGTAACCTTTTTTCGCTTTAATGTAAACTTATTACGGAAAATTGTTTGTATATTTACAGTTATAAATGTTATATTTGGTATATACTACTGATTATTATAGATCTTTGTATGTTTTAACATGTTATTGCTGAAAACAAAAGCCAGTATTAAAAAACAAGGTAAACTATTGTAAATGAGATTTGTTTTAATTATATTAAAGTGTAGAAAGAAGTTAGTCATTATAACTATGCGTAATCGTAATGTATTCATTCATATTCTCTACGGATAATCTGACTGTAAACTGG